TTGAGAATCGGGTAGAAAGTTAATAACAGTCAGTCAGTCAGTCAGCTACAACGTAGGACCAGGCACATATGTGCATCGGTCCAGGTTACCATACCTCATTAGCACAGCAAGATGAACAGCGGATTCATAGGAGTGGTTAGGTCAAAGGTTGCAATAAGGATATAGTATAGGAAGAAAGAATTAGTTAGCAGAAAGAAAGATATGAAGCAATTTTAATCTCTTAGTTTAAGGGAAGACAGAGAGTGTATACACCTGCTCCACTGTGATCGATTCTGAGCCATGTCACCAAGAGTCTCCAACTATTGGTTACGATAGTCACGCGGACCCCAACCAAGTAGTCTGCATCTACCAACATGGCTCACACTAGAAGTTAGTGACTTCAAGCACTGATACCACGTTTTGGTTTGGCCGCCCCTTACTTTCTTCCAACCATCTCCAACACCGGTTAGCATTGCACGTCGTGGTAATCGGTGTTCAGGCATACGTAACACGTGGCCCAACCATCTCAGTTGATGAAGATCCACAACCTCATCAACTGATTTACCATCATTCCCTAATACCCTGCGTCTAACCTCACTATTACTCACCCGGTGATCCCAGCAGACGCCAGCAATATTTCTAAGGCATCTGTGGTCAAATACTAGTAGCTTACGAGTGTCTTCTACTCTTAAAGGCCATGTTTCGCTGCCGTAAAGTAAGACAGAACGGACTGCCGCGCAGTATACTCGTCCTTTTATTGATAGACGGATATCTCGCCTTCGCCAAAGGTGACGCAAGTTGGCAAAAGCCAAGCGAGCTTTTCGAATCTGTGCTGAGATTTCGTCAGACACCAACCCATTAGGGCTTATAAGACTTCCAAGATAAGTGAAGTTGTCAACGCGTTCGACTACTTCACTCCCTATCCTTAGTTCAGGTGTTGACGCAGACCAATCCTGAAGCAACAACTTGCATTTAGAGGGAGAGAAGCGCATCCCAAGCATTCTGGCATTGTTGCTTAGTGCTACCAGAAGACTCTGCATTTTGTCAGCGTCTTCACCAAACAGTTAATAATAAATGTTTTTGTAATACCCCAATGAGTAAAAACATTGTATTTCTGACGTTTCATGACTTAATGCAAGTCACTTCTTCAGAGTAAATAAGTAACTGAAATTAAATTAACACAAGTTGAAATAGTACAAAGGAAATAATCGATAAATATTTGTTCTTTATTAGACAAATTATCTGGTGAGTGATTCAATGAATAATATGTGTTATAGTGGTGTATGAATGCCAAAAGAAATCACAATTTTTAGATTTGACATCACATAGCACCATTTGGTTGAATTTTAAGGAAAAAAACAAATATTCTAAAGGCAATGCGAATTGATTTTTATAACTAATCATGACTTTATAAAAGATACAAAAACTTGTTTTCATTCAGACAAATGAGGAGCTGTAGCGAAATTTCCCTCGTATTAAAACGTACAAAACTATCATAAATTTTGAAAATTCAATGGGTTCGTGAAAGAATTAAACCCATTTGGTTTTTCATTACATTTCTATTGAAATACTCTTGATTTGTAAGAAATGTTTATACCTTGACTAATAGTAGTATAAAAGCCTCAAAGAATTGCAAAACTTCGGAAACACAACAGTTTTATCTGCAAACCTAAACAACGCTCTGATACGGAAAACATTGTCAATGATACGCGATTTAAGATAAAATGACACAATATTATCAATAATCCGCAATGTATGGACGCAAAACTAAATACTTTAGAATAGAAGTAAAAATAAATCAATAAGTCATAGGACAATCGACGTATTGTAAAGATTTTCAGTAAAATGTGATGATTAATTTACAAGTTAAACTAATTCTGTCAGCACAGGTACAGAGTGTGAATATAAACAGAAGTAAAAATATCTACTTTCATCAACAGTCACTAATAATAATTTCTTCTCGTTAAAATAACAAACAAATTTGAAACACGTAATCATTATGGCTACTAAGAAGTAACCTTGATAAAATATCTTGATGTTTTAAACTAAAATCTTTTTACCGGAAACTTAGTTCTATTATTAAGACTAAGCTTAAATCTTGTAACTTCCAAGTTCAATTCAAGGTCGTTAGACATCTGATCACATCTTAGTAACTAAAATAATACAGTTTGCCTAGAGAACATTTTATTAAGTAAATTGCTTTAGTACAGTAAACAACATTTATGCACTTTTATTATTATTTATAACAACAAGTATATAGAAAATGAAAAAAATGAATTCAACTTATTAACTAGTGATTAACTATTATGATGCAAGAAAACAATACTAATCTCAAAATGAATAGTTTATTAGGACTGCTATTAACTTAACCGATATGGCCTGAATTCTAGTTAAATTTTGGATTTAATTTATAGACACAATTCAACTTTTACTTGAAAGCGATTTCGAGCCGATCCTTACGGAATATACATATCCCAACGGAAAAGACCAAAAACTGTCCTTAATACCAAAAATAGGAAGATGCAAACCCTTGCATATATATCATAACTTCATGACTTTTTGAACACGTTAGTGGATACATATAGGACAGTGGATGAGTTAAGATTAGAGGCCAAAGATACTGGATTCGAGTCTGTTGTAACGGGTGTGACTGCAGGTTTTGATAAGCAGCGTTTATCGACCGATTACAGTGGACACGTAAACATGTAAGGACGACCTAGTGCCCTGATTGGCCCTGCTTCGCTGTCTGTCCTAGCCAGTTGAGTCAAGAACACAAGTCACAGCCTCTGAGTTATGAATCATTATATTTCAAACATACTTTGTTTATACACCAATCAAGCATACCACATCGTACCATAAAATAGAAAACAGCATTTTGTACAATATTCAACAAGTGAATAGATATCGACCAATAGGAAATGTCCATTTAAAGTCCAAGGACACCATTGGACTTAACATGATAATTATTGGTCTATTTTTCCGACTACCTAACAGAGTCCTGGCACGGGTATCAGCAATTGGGATGCACATACACCCAGCTGGTAAGCATCAAGCTAAGAAAAATGTGCTTCCTCAATACTACTACTACCAGCAATGACCTAACTTACTATGTAAAGATTTGATACATTTTTTTTCTTTTTACTGGAACATAAACTAGGAATGAAATAGTTCAATTGCAGAGTATGCGGATAAATAAAATTGAATTTAACCTTTTGTTCAAAAAATAAAACCTTTTAGAAAGGTTCAAAGATGCCTATTTTGTACAATCTTAACGCGGTTTGGGGAAAAGTTTCAAGGTGAACTCAATTATGAAGTATTATAGTATTATGTAGATGCATGTTTGCATGGTTTTCAAGGAAAATACTACATAAACGTAAGTTTAATAAAAAGCTTTCTGAAATATCTATGTGACATTCAAAAAAGAGCTAGTTACTATAGCATCTGACTTTTCAGGTCATTATCATAGAAAGAAAGAAGTTGAAAACGGCGGAAAAATCTCACCAAAACTAAACATAGAGAGATAGGAGGATTAACACTCAAGAAACACCAATCAACTGTTTTCTATCAGTATATCGATAGTACTAATAGTAAGTTATATCGTGCTTACTTATCGAGACTAACAAAATATTCATATGGACTTTATGCCATAAATTTAACGGTGAGACACGGTATGAGAAACTTGCTCGTACATAGTTCAGAAATAAGGAAAAATGTGTGAACATAATTTAAGAGAGCATTATCTATGTATACAATATTTATTCATCCGGGAATAAGAATCAAACCGTGATATATATATAATGACTATCCTTAAAACCGTTGTTCCTAAAAGTAACGATTAAAGATGACAGCCAGAGAAGTCACAGCGCGTCTAAAGGATGCGTCAAGTGTAATGTTCAATGAGTCAGGGTTATACTTTTCGTTTTACGGGTAACCAATAAAGACTTCGTTAAGTGACGATAGAATCCCTTGCATCGGCACTACTATGCATAGTTACCAGTTTAACTGCACTTGTGGAGTCATTTATATTGAATATACGATTAGGCAAGTTTATTGTCTCGTTTGGTGTCCGGATGAGAAATAGCTGATAACAACTCTATCCTGGTATATCTAGTAAACAAATGTATCAGTGATTTTAAAGTGTCTTTTACAGTTGTGTATCGAGTCTCATCCAACATTCATTATGCTTCCAAATTTTGCCCTTTGAACATGGAAGAGATTATAGGAATCAGCATAAACAAGCGTAACTTAAGGATCTAGTCTGATTTATTATTCTGATCGTGTCTGTAGGTGACTTGTTTCATAATGACTGAGTGACCTCAAACTTTATCATTCCAGCATTCGTCCAAAAACTAAAATCAAATACTTACGAACCCACTGCAATTTCTACAGACAGAACTAGATTTATATACGCTGTCAGCTGATTCTCAATCAAATGACTAATAATGATTTATATTCAGCTGTTAAACTAACAAATCGTTGTGGAGTCGAGATGAGGACCTATTTATAAAAGAATACTTCTAGCTTCTTTTATGCAGTAAATATCTAGTGTTTCAACGAATTAATTATGAGGTTGCCTACCTATTTGGAACCTTTAAAGTATATTTCTTTTTAAGCAATTTCGACAATATATTTTAAGATTAAATCGACTTCACATACTTAAGATAGTGGCATTACCTTCGTTTGGTATGCTGAACTACAGATTGAAACGCTCGATATAAATGTTGGCAAAATTACGGAAACGATTAATAGATAACTAGTACATGGCTTTGACTAAAGCGCTGAAGGAAGTGATTATGATTCAGAAGAAGCATCAATTCCCATTAAGTTCACACAAGTATATAAGTATGAAACCTAGTTGAAGCAAAGCTAACTTTTAACAAAAACTTGACATCAGGAATAATTGTAAACTATCGAAAATCCTATTCACTTTAGACAGGTTTTACGGAAGCAACCTAAAATATATGGAAGATAGCAAGAACAGTAAAACTGAGAACCACAGGCGAAATCATTTATGAACTTACGTTCGAAAACAATTATCTCCAGTCAATTGTCGCAGACAGAATGAAATTGATAAAAGAGAATTGTCCTGACGTTTACGTTTCTCATCATAACCTTCTAAAATATATCTACGATGGTTAATTACATTTCCAACAGCAGCGAAACATGGTAAGTTGATACTGACAAAACCAACTTTGTGAAATGATTTTCCACCTTTTGTTTCCTACGAGAAAACGTTACATAAATGATATTAATGTTAAGTGTGATGAAAAATTGGATGGTCTTATTATATTTATGCGTATGATAGCTTAAAACAAACATCCCTTTCAACAAATGGTTTTGCTATGCGAACACATACGTTGCCGACTATTAAAGAAAACGAGACATTTAGCCCAGTAGCTACATACATATTTCCGAAGTTGGCTTAATAAGACGATCACCATAATAGTTAACAATCCTACACTTTTATGCGCACGAGATTATGTGAATTGAAGTAGGTATACTGGCAAATTTGGCAAAATGTTGACTGTGAAGATAATATCTTGTTTGAACCAAGATGTGAGTTTATTTCATTAAGATAACACAGAACGCTGATTCGACAATAAAAGTATAAATTTATCCTCTTACGGAGAGCGAAAGGCAAACATTTGGAGAGTTATGAGCCATTACGATACGAGCAAATTCCCTGGTACGGCCGAGGTGGGAAGAGTCCGCTCTCTCCAAATGCTCTCACATGGCCACGCGTATATAGCCTCCGCCAGGGAAGTCCTACTTACTACCTCCTCGTAGCGAAGGTGTTGTTTACGAAATTGAGATGAAAAGTGAATGTACGACGCTTTGACACGGTTGGTGGAAATGGAGAGTCCACCTAGGGAAAATGGAAAACCCTGATTCAAAACCAATGGCTCACATGGGCTCCAGTATCCCGAGGGAACAAATGGCCTATGGACCAATCTTTGGTCACCAGCTACCATGGGGATTGATCTCCTTACGTTGCTCCACTGTCTTGTGGATCAGACCTTCAGGTCGAAGGCTCCGGGTGTGGCCCACTAAAAAAACCACCTGCTTTGGTCTGGGCACCCTGGCAGTATTACAGCCCTCACACATATCAAATGAGATTTGTGTAGCGCATATGTATTTGGTGAATCCTTGTACCAATATCTATGTGCTAAAATAAATAAATAAGATCTGAAAAACACAAATTAGGAAGCTACCATGTAAACGTTTACAATAGTATTTGATAAATTCGATAGAGGTGTCATGTCTCAAACTAATTCTTTCACTGTCTTATGTGAAATTCAATTTAAAAATAATCATTTGACTGTAAATTCTTAAACACTATACATGGTCTAGAGTGCTATCAACTACTAGAACTTAGCTGCGTGAGTCTCTAAACTAACTCGGGACCGAATTTAAAGTTGAGATTGGTCCTTTGAATATATGATAAGCACAAACAATAATAAATGATTATATTGGTGGGATGAATCATGACCACTGAATGGCTGGTGATACTATATGGCGGTTTTACCCTCAACTGTAGAAGAAAACATGTCGAATATAACGTACGTAAGCCATTAAACTAAGGAAACAACCTAACCGAATTGCATGATGTGTTTCGAACCCTTTTGATTATGTATCAAACTAGTTAACATATTCAAAACGAAATCATATTTGGTGAACTTCAACTTACACTAATTTGTTTGAAGCCTTATCCCAATATATTATTTTCCCACGTAAAGAAACGGACATAGTGACAGAATTCGGCGTTCCTTCTTATCAGAAAGATCCATTGGTACTAGACAGTGAAAACACTGACGAAGCTGAAGTCCTATAAAAGTATCGCGGTAGTGTTTTAGACTGATGGTAGTTAAACACAAGGCGAACTCTCCAAAAAGATTTTGAATCTCGTAGGCAGTTCGTAAAGACTTTTATAACTTGAATGATGCAGTGTTGTAAATATTAAACACGACGACATTGAGAGTAAAAACCTTGTTTCGCATAGCAGTGAATGCTCTACGAATTCGACGGTTAGAATTGTGAAACCTAACATAAGTTACTAGATTACCTGTCCTTAAATTCGCAAAAATTAGCTTAAAAGCCAACACGAAAACCAGTCAAGCTATGCGAAGAAATGGAATATAGGCGGTATAAACAGCAAAAAAAACCTGTGCCGCAGAAGTACAAACTCTACTAGGAAAGGCTAGTTTTTTCTTAGTTTTTATAGAGATTAAAGAGCAGATCAACAAAACTACTCGTCAGTGAAAATTAAATCAAAAATTGGGTTTATGAAGTTCATACGAATAGAAACTTACCATGCGGATAGACACTTTAAGAATGTTTGGATCTAATATAGTTGTCTCAGCATTGCTTTTGAATTTGCAATGGAAACGGTGTTCACTGTTCCAAGTCACAATATTATTTCGGATTTCAGTTCTGAACAGTTAATGACAAGTATAAACAAACCTGGGAGAGTATTGAGCAGAGCTTCGGCTGTTCAAAAGCCGAAGCTTTGCGAAAGTGACGGAGTTAACGTAAGGAACAGCTGTCAAACTGTGCAGCTTTACTAAAACATCAAAGTTATAACACTGCTGTTTATTGAACAGAGGAACGCATGCCATATCCATATGCTAGTGACATTTATAAGTGACTTTATATAACTAAACATGCATAAATGTGTGAAAATTTTAAAACTATCCCAATTTTTAGGGCTAGGCATATTGCCTTAACACATTCATCCTTATTCCGTAAGGGTTTGAATGATTGAAGGTCATCCAACAAACAATGTCTTCAAATAGTATCAATCTGCTTAAATCGTTGTGAACATCAAAGAAGAATCTTACACTTAACATGTTTCTGTATATAAAACAATAGATTACCAATAACCCTAGATGGTAGCTCAGTCATATCTGACGATAACAAAAGAAATATTAGTTAATACTGTCTTGAGTACCTAATGATATATTGAGTTTCCACTGGAAGGACTCCTCGAACGTTACTTTGATGACTTCAGTAGACGGCGAAACTCAGAATATGACAACTCGTGAAGAGTGGATGTTATTCTCGCTATCTATTTTTGTTCCGAGTCAATGGAAACTACTCCGTTTCTTTTTCAGTTTCATTTCGGAGAGGACATGAGGTTTGATAGCCTGTGTTAGTCATGCCAATGGTAGTTTCTCGGTTGACCCAACTTTCTTTCTAAAAAGTTGACGGATGGAGACTCAATCACGTGCTGAGGTAATAAATCTCACTCGTTGATGTTTCGATGGGAAAGTCGATAGTCGACTGACAAGTAATTTCTTCTGGGCTTGTGAACTTTTTCAGTGTCCTCGTGAATTCTCTGTTTTGGAAGACAAGAATAATGAGGGCATATCAGGTGCAAATTTATTACTAAGTAATTTGAAAACTGTAATAAATTCGCCTCTAGTTCTTCGATATGATAACGGGTAAATGTTTAGCTTGGCCAGTTGAGCATCATACGGAAGCTTCGTTATTCCGGGAATCAGCTTAGTTGCTGTTCTCTGAACTGTCTTTTTAGGCAGAGGCTAGCCGCTTTTATGTAATACTCAAGTTTAAGACGTGCGAACACTGTATACAAAGTCGAAAACGTTTTAGTGACGACAGAACTAAAAGTCCTACGTATTGACCGTAAGATCCTAAAACCTTTGGCGGCTATTGCACGGCAGTGGGCAGTAGTCTTTAAATCTTGGCTAACGATGACTCCTAAGTCATTATGTGTCTGGACGACAGGTAGCTCAGCGTTATTCATCGTGTATGTATCTGTACCTTGATGACCGATATGCATCACAACAAACTTGGAAGTGTTTATTGGCAACTGTCAGGTTTGAAACCATTCAGATAATTTCTTCAGGTTATCTTGGAGTTCTAAGCTATCACCCTTGCGTCGTATCTTTCTCCATATCTTGACGCCGTCAGCATATAGCAAGACCGATGCTTTTTAAATACAGTTCCAGGTAGATTGTTTTGCCTCTCATCGATGCGAATCAATCCGTTCGACGGTAGCATTCTGTTTAGAACTGGCATTTGTCGCTTAATGCGATAGTCGATTTGTTAAACTTGTGTGGAATTTGACTCAAAAGTATTAAGGTAAAGAAGAGGGCGAAGTTGGATAATAGTAATCACACATGATGATAAATTATAATTTGATTCATTGGTCTGTTCATAAGTTCAAGGAGAACTTGTAACAGCTCAGGTTGGTTGGTTAAGAGTTGACCCCAAACAACCAAGCTTATGCCAAAACAGTAGTGTTCAAGTATTCATTCACTTCCTTATTTTTCATAAGCGTTATATTCCCTATTATCTTGTTTGTCTGAACAGATAATCCCACGCTTCACTGTGACTGCGCGAAGATCGAAATAAAGACCTATTCACTACTTCTCTGGTTTCTTCTATCAATAGCACGAGGGTTACCTTAAGGCACGAAAAACTTGCTGGTAAGTGCTCACGGTTGACTAGTATTCCGAAGAAAGCAATCAACTACCGTGACCAACATGTACACTTTAATATTCTCTTGATTTCTAGCCACACCGCCAGGAAGACCATTCTAGGTACGGACGATTATTAATGTGAATGAGTTTGAATATATTAGGATGTACATTCTACAGTGTACATTTTTTCAGAGGCAATCTCGTAGAAAGCAGTGGCAGAGTCCAGATATGTTGTTTTTGATGGGAAAGCTTACCGTACTTGTTATGTTGTGTATTATTTTAAGGTTACCTCTTATTCACTTTTACCCTATAACAAGAATCTCAAGTGAAACAGCTTGTCAACATATGATCTGTATTTCAGTTCTGTCACTTATTAAACAATGCATTTATTCTAAAAGATTTATATTCTTATCGAGAAGAGGTTGTGCGACATTGATGTGAGTTTCCAGATTTGGTCAGATGTAGAACTTGAATAGCATTAAATATAGGTTGAGATCCAAACATGAAACTGCGTTCAGGCTGTAATCCCTGTTTAAACGAGGACCCGGATATCTCGGAAAAGGCACAGAGAAAGGCTCCAAGTGCAACTTCGGAACCTCGATGTAACCATTCAAAGAACGGCTTGAAAGGCTATACCTCTTTACTCCGTCCTACCTCAGCACCAAGTTAGTGTGAGTTTCTTCCTGTTTATTCTTTATTAGCTTTTTACTCTTATGGACACTATGTTGACTAGCAATTAATATTATTTCTCCACTCGTTACCTTATCTACAACTGATATACTTATATATTTTTCCGCCTGCCTTACTAAACAACTATCCAACATTATGTCCTTCTTGATGCTTATACTCTGATCTGCAAACTATACTTTATACTATAGTCAGTTAAAGCACTGCATCGATGCCTTACCCACAGTCCACAACTTGTAACTGCCTGATAAGCTTGTAAAATGGTGCTTATAGTATTTTCCAACAAGATGTGAAACACAGAGGGTTGTGTGAGGCATGACATATATCCGAAAATAAGCTCAAACGAGCCTAACATCACAAAAGGAGGGAGGGTGGAGTTACTGGCCAACAAGCATTGATGATGAGGGCGATGACTTCAATTCACCCATGTTTTTGAAACACAACATTCCGTATGTATCCGGCTTTTTATGATTGAGAATAAGCCAATCAATCTGTGATATTGCGGTTGATCTCCTACGCTCACCACTAAGACCCATGTTTTCAATTTTATGCTAGATTAGCTATTCTACTAAGACAACCTATAACATGCTAACTCGAACTTTTACACTAGGATTGTGTGGCTGGTATCGGATGGACAAAAAAGGAAAATAAAGGAAAAAAATTAAACAATAAAAGATATAGTTACTGTAGTCTCAACACGTCACCGTCTGTATTATTATTATTATTATTATTATTATTATTATTATTATTATTATTATTATTATTATTATTATTATTCACAAACATCTTATGGGTACATAAGTGTTGTGAAGAAACCATTTCGGGTTTCTTCAGAAAATGCAATAATACACAATTTTCAATAATGTTAGCATTATACTTGCCATATTTAAAAAAATAATAATAAAAATAAAATAAAAAATTGAGAATAATAATAGTAGAATATTAATAATAATAAATGGGGTCTTTGTAATTGAGAAGAATATTGAATTGAGTTTAAAGAAGGAAATGGAGAAAATAAGGGAATAGAAATTAAGGAGACGTGAAATACGCAAACAGTCTAATAGGGGTGTTTATGAACACAAAACAAGAATAAACGACTATGTGTGTATCGTTAAATTAGTAAGAAAAAATAATTTATCAATGTAGTAAGATATGACACTAGAATAAATGTTTGTGCAGTTATAATTTAGAGTGATGCTATGAAAGTCACAATTAAGTGAAAAGTATAATAAAATATCACTATGTATGAGTCATATATGCATAGTGAAGATGAAACGAATCTGAGAGGTTAATTAAAGTGTAACACAAGTTATTGTTTTAATTACAAACTTCGTAATATTAAGAATAATATTTATTTAGAGGGAAAGAAGAGAAAGAAAAGAAGTGAACACCTAGTGAAAAGATTCATCCATGATAAAAATAATAATTGTGTAATGAATATCAACCTCAGAAGGAAACCAACAATTTAGAAAAATAAAATAAAAATCCTTTAATGCACTAGGATGAATACATTTAGATTTATGTAATAGTATACAGAGTGAAACCGGATATTAGTATAAATATTTGTGCAATAATAATTAAGATTGATGCTATGAAAGTCAAAATTGATTTCAAAGGACAATCTGGAGTTAAATATCTTTGGAAGGATAAGAAGATACAAAAAGAATATCTAATGTGTCGGGGAACTAATAATGATATTAATAACGGTAATAATGATAAACACGAACATAATCAGACTTCATATATTAAGATAAAGAGAAATAAAACAAAATAGACGTGAAAAGATTTAAAGGTTTCATTTTGCTTTTCAAGCAATTAAATGGATGACGGACCTTGTTTGTATAAATCATTATTGAATACATTGATATTCAATAGGTGACATAATCCACTTTCGGAAAGAAAATCATCAAGGAGACTTTTGAACCGGGTTGTAGTTTTACTGCAACGGAGGTTCACTGGCAGTCTGTTCCACATCGTTGAGTAGCGAATAAGGAAAAAATTCTGACGTAAGTTTGTGTGGGTTCTTGGAATCGCTAGAATGTTCTCCTTATTGCGTAGATTGTGGGATGATATTATAAGGTATGAAGGGGTAGATACCGATGAGTAGGAAATACCATTAATGAGCCGGTAGATAAAGACAAGATTTAATTTGATACGTCTGATCCAAAGAGGTTCTAAGTTGAGTTGTTGACATCTTTGGTAATAGTCTTTGTTATCGGAATACCCCAGAACAGCTTTGGTGAACTTCCTTTGAACACCTTCAATTCTAATCAGATCATTATGTCTACAATTACTGTAAACTAAACTACCATATTCAAGAATGGGTAAGATACATTTTCTGTATAGTAACAATCTCGATTCGATATTATTGAAGTTTATCATTATCAATCCGATCAGCTTTCTAGCTTTGGATACTTGAGATATAATGTGTTCAGAAAAGTTCAAACTGATGCTATATCTTAAACCCAGGTCACGAACAGTGTTGAGAGGTTTGAGTGTATGTGTCTGTACAGTCAGATTTAAGTTATGACAGTGACCAATGTGAATAAATCCGCTTTTGTCAACATTAAGTGGCATATTCCACGAAATAGTCCATTCGTACAACTTGTTTATTTCCTCCTGGATTACCGCAGAAATATAGCTT